TTGATCTGTATCATCACTCATACGTATTGCCATATAAAAGAGGAAATAGATTCATAGCTGTTAATCAGCCATACTAAGAATATTGGGTGACTGATTTTAAACATAAGAATCCCTAGGATAATTATTTGATATATATTTAAGATTCATCTTCTGTACACATTTGATATCTCCCTGATTATAAAATGCGGAGGTATCTGACTCCAGTTGAGATGTAGTATTCAAAGACTGAACTATTTTGTATACTCGATCGCTATCAATATCCTCCTAGTTGAATTATCTTGAAAGTTATTACAATACATATAACATTAGTAATTGTTATGTAATTAGTGCTTGTTTAAAAATCTTATTTCACAATAAATAATAGATACAGTGGTCAACTAGTCAATTAAAAACCGAATTAAGTTATTATAAGGTTAGTACAAATGTGTAAGCATTCAGTAAGATTGTTCTTTCAGTATTATTCTATAAAAATGACCAAAGATTGACAATAAATCGATACAACATTTAATGAATTAAGTCAGTAAAATCTGCTGACGGGGAAAAATAAAAAATAATTTTTTTAGAAAAACTTTCCGATTTATAGATGACCAGTGTTACGTAATAACCGCGTCACAAGAAAAGCCCTCACATGGAATCCTCAAGGCCAAAGGAAAAGAGGAAAACCAAAGAACACATTACGCCGGGAAATGGAGATAGACGTGAGAAAAATGAACAAGAATTGGATGGAATTAGAAAGGGAGGCCCAGGACAGAGTGGGTTGGAGAATGCTGGTCGGACGCCTATGCTCCATTAGGAGTAACAGGCTTGCATTGTGCATTATTGCATTGTGACGTGTTACGTAATAGGTTACGTAGTAGGTTTTTGTAATCAAAGGTGAAACTTAATTGACACTAAGTTCTAAAGTTTCCAAATTATATAAATGGTGAAATCATGAAAGTATAAGAAAGATTGATTGAGATTTGACAGATAACTTTTAAAGCTACTTTAGTATTAATTCTGTAATCAGGTATCAATCAAAAGTGAGGAAAAAGTGTTCCTTGTTATTTCTTTTTGTTCTTTTCTTAATCATAAAGAATGACGTTCAAAAGTGTTATAATAAGCTTCCCTTTCCACAATGTAGCTAGGTACACAAAATCGGTAAATACAAAATCACAGAGGTGAAACATGGTATCTCGTGAACTTTGACAGATATTAATTTCTCCTCAGTCGGTCACTGATAATTCAAACTATCGTAGATGATGGTCGGAGGTTGTCGACAGAAAACCTCGTACCCGGGTTTCGTGCTACTTGGCACTCGTCAGTAAGGTTTACCTTTTATCTTGAGGGAACTGGTGCTCTCTGATGAATTCGATCCCGTGTCACCCAACTTCACAGTCAGAAAGGTTACCACTGAGCTATCCGGGCCGCGACCGACCTCAAATTATCCTCTCTGAGGTTTTGTCAGTATAGACTATTTCATTTTTATGAATCAAGTATTGAATTAGATTTCACTGATACTGTTGTTGAATAAATATATAGAAATGAGTACACTAATCTTTTATTGTCGGTCATTGATAGAGACTTCTTTTCATGGCTTTATCTGATGTTGCATTACGAAATTGAATGCTTGATGGACTGTTTTGAGATTGTCCTGTAAGCTCTTTGCATTTCAGAGCTGTAGATATGCAATGATATTATTCTAGCTGACAACAATTTTGAAATAGATGTTTTCCAATAGTAGTAGTAAGGTATACTCTAGTATTCAACTTAGCGTTGACACCAAAAAGATATCTCTAAAACTACCTTGAATAAAGTACTTAACAAGATCTTTGTGAAGTGATTTAAAATATTCGACCCACCATTTCATACATGAGCTGTATGGAAAATTTAGCGTAAAGAGAACTGAACAAGTTACCTAAACATTTTAGTAGACCATGAATCTAGATATCACAGCGTCTAAGAATCTTGGAAGACCGAATACGTTTGTTTGGAGTATCTCAGCGACCACACTAGCTATCTCCCAATGTATTCTGTGTGTTGTTAGTTGATAATTTTTAAAATTTGCTATGCTTACTTATTTCTGTTTTCCCTCGTGAAACATAGGGAGACGACAAAAATTCTCCAACCAACTCAGTCTTCAGCTCTCCTTTCCAAGTGCTACCAAATACTATTTATCATTTTGGTCCCTGCTTCCAATTCTGGACGCAATGTGTTCTTTGGTCTACCCCTTTTCTTTTAGCCTTAACGATTTTATGCTAGGGCTTGCTTTATGTTGCAGTTTTATGATATCCATAAAGTGTGTCCTATATTACATCCAGAGTCTTTTCATAAAACGTTTGCCACAGTCACTACGTAGCATGTTCATCTTGTCCATATAGCACAGGTTATATATGATAATTCCTAAATAGTCCTTGTTTAGATAAGTATTCACTAAATAGTAATCAATTTTATGTAATATTTAGTCTTTGGTATTAAACAGATCCTTCTGATTAAGTTACTGAGTATCTATTATTCAAAGTGACTCTACACTGAATGTATTATGGTAAGCTGTCAGTTGACCGAAGAAAGTTGATGGGACGTCTTGAAATTAGACTTCATACTGATTGTCACTTGTCAGTAAGGACCATCTGTAGTCGTGAAAAAGCTGATAACTGACTCATGAGTACAACTGACTCATGATTACAACCTGTGAAATTTCTAAAGGATTTAAAACTGTAACATCCAGTTTCAGAAGTACAGAATTTACTCTATGGGTTGATAATAACCTCTTGTCAAACCAAGATATTTACACTGACCTATAACCGTATCGTAACGACTGTCGTATTTGTTTAATCTAACCACTCAACATGGAAACAAAAAACAATCTATGCTGAGTTACTCGAACTATTGATCACAGTTAACTATGATCGGTAGAATCTGAGTAACACCAAGGGACTAAACGAACACCAAGTTAGTGACTACTCAGTGACCTATCTGTGTTAATTGGTCTTTGTTTTAGCTAGTCTCAGGTTATTTTGTTTTAAGTCAATATGATTCACATTAAGTTTAAGAAAAACTAATCTCAGAGGTGATAATTGGGCGTGGAAACTAATTTCAAAATATCGAAACATCTAACTGACTATCTAGGTTAGTACTATTGAAAGCAGTAGACTTTCAGAAATCATAATCAATGGTGTATCCTTCAAATCGATATATATATATATATATATATATATATATATATATATATATATGCATTAAAATGACTTTAGTAACCAAATACATGTCTTCATGCATGTAAATATATGTGGGAAAATAAGAGTACACATTATTTGAATCAGAGCTCAAGAAAGACTAACGCAATAATCGAACCAGGAACGACTTCTATCGTTAGAGTAATAACCAGGAATATAGAACTCAGTGGATTCACTTGGTTCTTCGTTATCTCGTTTAAGTGGTGTTTAATCTTATATATGGATGATTAGTTAACCTTAAAAACTACTTTATTTTATAAGCTTGTATAGTCCTGTATTACCCAACTGTTAATTTGTATTGAATACTGGTTACAAGCATCCCGTCAACAGTATAAGGCTATGTATTGTAATGCCTCACTTTACCTTGTTACCCTTTACCCGATGTGATTTTGTTCTTTCAGTAAAGCGAACCATATTATATGAGTCACACGTATTTGTCACAATAAGCCATGATGTTTTATTAGTTATCTACGACATTGTCACTCGAATTAATAGTGACAAGTAACTAGGTTATTAAGCAGAGACAATTATACGTAGTTTTGGGCTACACTTTCCCTTTAAAAGTAGTGATACTCTACAATGATCAAGATCGAACAGTTTGAAGTTGGATTTAAAATTCTTAATAAAATAAATTTCAGTTGGTCTATTCATTTGAAGCTCTCATTGTTTATATTATTTGATCGAAACACTAGAACAATTGGTTGTAGATAATTCTTTACAAAAAATGATTTGACAACAAATAATATTAAACGTTAGTATGTTTTACTGATCAATATTGACTAAAATTATGGGTCCTTTACCCTGAGTATCCATTGAGCTTTATTATAGGTGTGACAAAACAGAAGATTTCGAAAATGGATAGTGGCTAGCAATGGAATTCAGGACGAGTGTTTCGTCCGATTCGGGACTTGTCAGCTGGATGTACCTACATCTCACAGTTGATGTTCTCTCTAGGATTGGAACCCAGTACCATTCGCTCCAAACTCCATCACGTTATCTACTTAGCTACTGAGTTCTGATAGCCATTTGCTTGTGGAATGGGGTGAAGTTATATTCGCTTGGAGTTTTTTACTTGTATCTTCCCATTGCACAAGCAGGCGGCTATCAGGACTCAGTGGCTAAGTGGATAAAGCGATGGTGTTTGAAGCGAAAGGTGCTGGGTTATAGTCCTAGAGTGAACATCAACTCTGGAATTCAGGAACATCCAGCTGACACATCCCAAAATAGGACGAAACGTGCGTCCTGAATTCCACTGCTAGCTACTATCCATATTTACTTGTAAAGCTTGTGACTTCAGGCAATATCGAGGCAGTCCGCACAGGATGCATATAAGCCGAAACGAGACTAATGAATTGCAGTCATAAATTCATTTTGACTATATACGTGTTGTTGATAGTTTCACAATGAAAACGCATTGCCACCATATAACATATTTCCTTGAAATGATGAAAATTAAGATGTTAGTCTTTTGTTGAGAATATAATCCAGAATTAGTTAATTCTTCAATTAAATTTTGATTAATTCTTGAAGATAGAATAGTATAATGGACGCTTTTTATTCAGTAAGGTGAATTCAACTAATGAAGCTATGAAGTGCCTTCGAATAATCAACTGATGGAATTAAAACATCTGATTATTTCAATAAATCCATTCTCATTTTATTTCATTTTATGGTATCTTAAGCCTATTTAAATGATTTAACATAAAAAGATGTATCAATCATGTTGTGACTTTATCCTTTTCACCAATTTATTCTATATTCATAGTACAAACACAATCATTATCATCTATGGCACCTACAATCAATGTTAAAGAACTTGTTGAACAAATGAAACATCTTCTTCAAGATTTAAAATCATGCCCGGTAACAGATAAATTGATTACCAATGAAGAAAAGTGAGTCGATTGTATATGTTATTTTACTATTTACCTAATGTATACAACAAAGAAAATCATCTATTGAGATCATCTTATGCATGAAAAAATAATTTCGCCGTTTAATGATTAATAATAATAGACTGAATTCAAAGAATATTTAAAGTAATAGTTGCATTTGAATAGTCATAAAGTTTAGATCCCAGTCAATCAGTTTGTTAGTTGCATTATAAGATTAAAATGTAAATAAAATAAAATTTCATTCAACTGACTTATAGAATCAAAATTTGGCTATCGATTGAATATTGTTGTCGAACAATAGGTAATAAATGATATGAAGTGAACTGGATGATTACGATTCTCATTCAAGTATATAATAAGATTTAATATATTGAATTTATTTCAACTTATCATTCAACTGCAACAATTTGGATGACTCTCCCGGTCTCCTACATTGTATGAGCATTCCATGTACCTAAATTAATGGTTGTTCTGGTTGTCAGAAGGGGCATCAGCCTCGTGACTTCTGAAGGAACGCCTATCATTACTATTAAATGATAATAATTTTATATTGATCGAAGTTGATAAATGTGAACCAGCTGATTGCGGATTGTCTATTCCATAACTTTTTTTTATTTGGATCATGAGTTAATTGAAGCTAGACCACCATGGAATACCTGCTAGCATTGGATGGCTGTTTCGTTCTATTGTGAGACTCCTCAGCAGTGTGCACTCACGATTCTCCTCGCCAGATTCAAACCCAGCACCTATCGGTCACGTGCACGAACGCTTAAACTCTAGATCACTGAGTGCTGATTAAACTACCTCCTAATCCCACGAGTAGGGATCGTGGATGTACACTGCTTAGGAGTCCCACAATACGACGAAACGACTGTTCAGGGCTTCCAGGTTTTCATTGATGGTCTAACATGAATTGATTCATGATCTCAATCAAAAACTTAACAATCACCCCAACCCCTAAACTGATCATTTCATAAATATTTAATTTTCATGAAATTTTAAAATCTTAAGGTTGATTTCTGTATAGGTCCATATATTGATCACTAACTAAAGGTTTCAATTAAAATAAAAAGAACGTTTTCTTCAAACCTTCTATGACTTTCATTACTTTTGTTCCGTATTTAAAAAAAATCGATTTAGTATTTACTGAATGGATGATAATGTTTTTTTCTTTCTTTTAACCTTTGAAAAAAAAAGTTACCGGCTAAACATGATTTATATAAAATGTCATTTAATTACCTAGTAACTATTTATATCTTAATTATAATGAATCTATATGAATAATACTAAAATTTGGAAACAATTATAATAAGATTATAATCTAATAAAAATCATTGTAAATAGTTCAAATAGAATTCAATTGTCAATTATCGAACAGTTTATTATTGGTATTGTTGTTGTTGTTGTTATTGAATCGGATCAATAACATTGTAATATATATCTATACGAATGTATTGATCTTTTACAGAGAGATCCAATATTAAATTGATTAATTTGTGATTGGTCCAATTGAAGATCTTCATCATTGATGAAATGTTTATAATCAGTTCTCAAGTGATTTATTAAGTAATCTGGGAATTTAAAGGGAAATTCACAGAAGTGATACAATATTTTTTGTTAAAATTATAGTCTACAATTTATATAGTTTTAAAAGTTTAACAATAACAATAAATAAACATCGTTTTTCATTGAGATCATGAATCGATTGATGTTAGATCATCAATAAAAACCTACAATAACTGGACGACCGTTTCGTCCTATTGTGAGAACTTCTCAACAGTGAGCATCCACAACCCCACACTCGGATTCGAACACACGACCTTCGGTTTCGTGCTTGAGTGCTTAACCTCCGGACCACTGAGCCAGTATTCAATGGTGTTAATGTCTAAGTTCAACTAATCCATGAAATTGCTCAACCATCTTTCATTGTCTGAGGTAGATACCTGTCTCTATCTAGCACGGATTATTTCTACTGGTCACGATTTCGCACTAGAACTCGGAGAATTCCGTCACGAAGCTAGTCACTAGTGAGCACATGGTAATTATTAGTATAGTGTTGCGGCCATGAGTTCAAATCTTGCTGACGGTATCATGGATTCAATTATTCTAAATTTAATATCAAAAGGAATTTTTGTGGATATTATAGTAATTATAACCGTTGAGATCATGATTCAATTGAAGCTAGATCACCATGAAAAACCTGGAAGCGCTGGACGGCCATTTTATCCTATTGTGATTCTAGAGGTTAATTGTCCACACGCGAAACCGATAGGTCCTGGTTTCGAATATCCCAGGACGGGATCGTGGATATGTACTGCCCAGGAGTTCCACAGTAAAAGGAAACGTTCGTCCAGTTCTTCCAGGTTTACCATAGTGATCTAGCTTCAAGTAACTATTAAAATATCATTTTGTTAACAAGCTTGCTTACCTAAGTAGATAGAGTGATATTTGGATATTCTATATAATTCGTGTAAGAAATTATTCATCACCTACGTCAATTATGATGATAAGCTCCTAGTGTTTCTTAAGATTTGTATAATATGAATTAAATTTATGACTCTGTAACTGACTGACGGAATATAAGTAATGGAATCATCACTTTAACACTTTTTCAATCGATTATTACTCAGAATTATATGACATACATATTTCATAAATGACCTGAGTTGTAATTTAACATATATTGATAAGAATTTATTGGCAAGTAACTTCATTTTAGATGAACACAAATTATATTGTAGTTATCAAATTGTTGAGCTGTATTTCATTAGTTAAAAGCTTATCAGATTCAGGGCTTCAATTTTTTTTTAAGGGATGATTATTCAAGTTGCCATGATATATCAAAGTAGATTAAAATAGGTGTTCATGTTACCTCGGTTTCTAAAATTGTTTTTTTTTTTCAGTAATGCTGGTAATTGATAAAAACAATTTCATTTTTTATTATGTAAATCCTAAACCTGATGATATTATTTTTAACATGGTGGAAAAAAATTATAGCATAGATGGATGATATTTTTTAGTTTTGTTCTCTGATTTGGATGGCTTGGTTGTGGAGCTCTCATCGTTCTTTTGAACGACATCATCACCACAAACTTCAAGTAGAAGTGAAGTGTTCGAATTTCTCCATATATGGTTCACAGTTTGTTCTGTAAATTTCGATGTTGATTAGTTTTTGTTGACCTTAAACTTATCATAGTTTACTTCTTTGTTTCGGTTGTATCTCTGTTTGGTTGGATTTTTGTTCCTGTTTGTCTATAATTTTCCTGATTGGTTGATAAATTGGATCGATTTCAATGTACTTGTTTATTGTTGATTGAACTGAGTGCTAAGCTTCAAAAATTCTCTGATGTTTTTGGAATTGCCTCTACCTAAAATCTCCACATTTTTCCAGTCGAATGTGTGTCTGCAGTTGTTCACGTACAATGATATAAGTGAGGACATGCCATATCGTTTGACTGCTAATAGATATTCATGCAGGTGAAGATAAAGAGGGCGTCTGCTTTGTCCGATGTAATGTTATTCGCATAATTTTTGGCATAATTTATTTTCTAGAAAATGTTCGATTTTTCTTACAGTTCAGAGAACATAACTCCATCAAGATACTATTTTTCCCTGTAAGGTGAGAAAAATAATCATATTCTGTTGAAGTGTTTTGAACAAACTGTCGAATACTATCCTAATGACCTCGAATTAGATCTTTTAATTTATAATCTTAGTTAATAAAGCTCTAACATTTAAAGTACATAGTTCTTATATTTCAATAGAATTTACTTACATACTCCTGTTACTCCTCCTAGAGGTGCATAGGCCGACCACTAGCATAATCTGGTTGCCGTTTTTTTCGGATGGAGTTGCAGACCTCATGCCCAAATCTCTTCCTTTACCCGGGCTTGGGACCGGCAGTAACTCTAAAAGAGCTACAGTCGGAGTTTCTTTCAATAGGAGATGTATCATTGATCACAGTGAAGAGTTATGAACAAAACAAAACACTCAGATTGAAAAATATATCAAAAAAACAATTCTCTAATGGGATATTTAAAATAAAATTATTTACAAATTTTTTAATTGACATAATTATCAATAATTTTCAAATTATAAATATTTGAATAGAATTACTAGGCACACCCATTATGTGTATAATGGTTAAAGCAATTCATTTTTAGTCTAATCCCATTTATAAACATGATAGTAATTAACGCTCTTGTAAGCAAGAGTAGCCAAGTCTACAAGTAGAATTATTATATACTTACTTACGCCTATGACCCCCAATGGAGCATAGAACACCGGCCAGCATTCTCCAACCCATTCTGTTCTAGGCATCCCTTTCTTGTTCTATCCAGTTGTTGTTCATTCTTCTCATGTCTGTCTCCATTTCTCGGTGTAATGTTTTCTTTGGTCTCACTCTTCTCTTTCTGCCTTGAAGGTTACACTTGAGGGCATGCCTTCTGATGTAGTGAGGGGTGCTTTCCTCAATGTGTAACCTATACACTCCAATCCCTTCTTCCTGATTTCTTCCTCCTCTGGAATCGCGTTCGTTCTCTCCCACAGTAGGTTGTTGTTGTTGATAGTTTCTAGCCAACAGATTCGAAATATTTTGCATAGACAGCTGTTAATAAACATTTGTACCTTCTGGATGATGGCTTTCGTATTTTTCCAAGTTTCCGTTCTATACAGTAGAACTCTCTTGACATTTGTATTGAAAATTCTGACCTTGGTGTTGGTTGACAGACAGTTGTTTTGTGTTCCAGATTTTCTTCAGTTGTAAATATGCTGCTCTTGCTTAGTCGATCCACACCATCAGATCTGCCGTGTTCATCAATGATGCTGTCCAGATATGCATTAGTTTTTACATCTTCCAAATCTTCACCGTCAATTGTGATTGGATTGGTGCATGCTGCGTTGTATTAGAGAATCTCGCTTTTCCCTTTGTGTATATTGAGACCTACTGCTGATGAGGCTTTTGCTACACTGGTCGTCTTCTCCTGCATTTTTTGTTGCGTGTGCGATAGAAGAGCCAGATCATCTGCGAAGTCTAGATCGTCCGGCTGCATCCAAGCTATCCACTGTACCTCATGCTTCCCCCAGAAGTCAACGTCTTCATGATGCAGTCGATCATTAGGTGAAAGAGAGAGGGTGAGAGTAAGCAACCTTACCTGACACCGGTCTTTACTGCAAACGAGTTTGCCAACTGTCCTCCATGCACAACTTTGCAGTTCAATGCAGATATAATAAAGTTGTCTTTATTTGTAAGAGTATGTGCGTCTTGTACTCGATAAATTGGTGTATGTGTAAATTTATTCATTTTAAGGAACATTTTCTACAATCAACGATCAAACTACGGAGTAAAAGACAAATAATTTTAATGCCTATCTGTATACTCACCAAGATTTGAATTTAAAACTGATAGTTACTGAGTCGACTTTTACTGTCATGTAAACGATATTATGTACAATCACATAAAAGAGTTCATAAGCAAACTTACTTCTTTATTCAGGAGGTTTTTCAAGGGAGTAATTTTTATGAAGATCAGTTTTCAATCATTTTAATGCCGATATATGACTTGTACGGCTAACACTGTAGCTAGTTTAGTTAGATAGCAATCATAGATAATGTATGACTATTGTCCATCGTAACGAACTAATTACAATTGGAAAATACTGGTTGTTATATTTTAAATAAATAGTCCAATAGTTGTTTATTTTTTTAAAGAAAGTTTATGAATTATATAAGGTTGAAATCGAGCTCTGTCGAAGACAAATCAGTGTTTGGATAATTTTTAGTCATCAATTTAAACTAAGTAGATGTTAAGCGATCAAGATTATTTTCATTCATAATTCCTTGATGAATATACTAGAATGCTTTAAGTTTCGGGCTAGAATAACCTAGTTCATAGACCTCTTTGTTGAGAGGTGATGAATTCTGAGGTTAGCTGACTTATTTAACAGGTTAACAGTCTGATCAACATCAAAGTGCTAATAAGTTTGTGATGGAGCCAGAAAAAGATTTGGAATTTAATTTAAGCCAGTCGTTTCTAGGCATTCAGGAATTTTAAGATGATTGCTTTTCAAAAACACCTTCGATTATTCTACGACGTAGGTCTTACAGGAGTTCTCTGTTGAATAATTATGTGGCGAAATGTTATAATTTCATCCTGTAATTTCTATTTTAATGCACCTTCGTCTTGATCCTTTGTAATATCCAACATTGTGAAGTAGAATAATCTTGTATATCACAAACAGTGTGTTTATTTCCATATCAAGTAAACCTACAATTATAGAGTTAGGAGATAATAAAATTGAACCTGTCATTCATTCTTGTGATTGGAAAGAATTTAGTTGTTAGAAGCAAATTAAAAGCGGCCATTTGTAGTCATCAATGATATTAACATCATATCTCTGATTTAAAGAAATTTCGATGTCAAAAATTTACAACACATTTCAAAGTTAGCACCCTTACTAAGTGATAGTAATGTTGAAAGAAAGAAGGAGAATCAAGAAATGGGGAGAAATCCTAATCACAAAGTGAAAAAAGTTCTCAATTTCTTTGTCTCTGTGATTATTCATATGATGATTTGAATTGTTTTGAAACTCATAATAATTCGAAAATCAAATCTAAATGTTTGGTTCAGTTTCATAGTGTAGGTAAAAAACCATTTTAAATATCCATCCTTTTTGTTTATAATTAGATCGATAGCACTGATGACATATTTTCATCACGTTTTTAACCCATTGGAAAATAGTCTTTATAAATGGAAAAGAAAACAATAATGTTGCTAAGTGTAAAGAGATTTTATGAATTTGATAAAACTATTAAAATCTTTTATATGCTATTCTGTCCGTGAATCGAAAAAAAACTACGACACATTGATTACACCGTAAACATACTGATAATTAAAATGTGCTTACTAATGACTAGCTTCGTGACGGAATTCTCCGAGTTCTAGTGCGAAGTCGTAATCAGTAGAAATAATCCGTGCTAGATAGAGACAGGTATCTACCTCAGACAATGAAAAATGGTTGAGCAATTTCATGGATTGGTTGAAGTTAGACATTAGCACCATTGAATACTGGCTCAGTGGTCCGGAGGTTAAGCACTCGAGCACGAAACCGAAGGTCGTGTGTTCGAATCCCGAGTGTGGAGTTGTGGATGCTCACTGTTGAGAAGTCCTCACAATAGGATGAAACGGCTGTCCAGTTATTGTAGATTTTCATTGATGATCTACCATAAATCGATTCATAATCTCACTCAAAAACTGAAAGATCTCTACAAACTCATACTGATATTAATTGTCCATTTACATGAATCCTTGCAAGGACCAAAATGGATTTTTATGTCACTAAATTGTTCTTGTTTAGAGTTAGAGCAAAGAGTTTTCATTATAAACTGACACCAACTGTTGTGCGAAAATGCTTAGTAGACATATATTAGAATGTAAATAGGACAAAACTTCAAAAGGTGCTATCCTAATTTTCACTCATTTGTCCATAAATTATAGTACCACCGGGATAATGTTTGTCTCAGGATTATGAATTAGAATTCAGTCATAGATTTAATTTACCTGTTACGCGTTGAAAAAACGAATCATTTAACACTATCTTTTTTTACCCTATAACGATTAAATGTAACTTTTCATTTTCACATGATACATTTCGTTTTCACGATTCTGATCATTTTATCTCTATGATATACTACTTTAGACGAAAATGTGTACGAGCTTATTGCTTGGTTTGTGACGAAGGCAACACATTTTACTAGTTGTGTTTAAAACACTTGCTGAAATAAAACAGCTTGATTGAAAACATCAGTCTTAGAAGATAACATAAACTATTAACATTTAAAAACGAGAATGTCCAGAATGTAGTTCATATAATCCTTACTGTATGTAAGATGTTCATCAGTATAACACAAAGTTAAAACCACTATATAACATTGAGATGAATAACTCGATATGACTAATAATGACAGTGTGATCTATGTACTGTGATTCAGTAGCATCTAACAAAGTATTTTAGTACAAAATTATGTACACACATAGAATTAACTCTAAATGTAAACTTAAATGACACTATTATTTTACTAAATGATATCAAATGAGTAATTTTATGACAATTAACTATAATAGATGGCTAAAATGAATTACACTAAAGCTAAAATCGAATATATTCAAGTTTGTTATCATCATTTAAAATGATCATATCATTTAATCTATGGAATAAGATTTGAAAGTTATCTCTTATACCCTTTTCATGAATTTAATGTACAATCTTGTCATTTTTATTAATATCACAAATGTAAACTTACTTTCATTTGAATTTTAATGAATTTCATCAATTATATTCATGGTTTAAATCATCTTATTGAATAGATCATGTATTATTCGTATGTTTTGACTATTTCTATAGTATTATAAGATTCCTTAAAGCACGTAGTTGGGACTTACAATCTACAGAAAAAATGATGCGTAAAGATATACAATGGCGTCAAGAATTTCGACCAGATTTAACAGATTGTAAAAATTGTCACAATCAACCAGGAACTCATAGTTTAGTAAGTTTCATTGTTCATTTCTTCCTCAGAATCTATCATGCAAACAAATTCACTTATTTTTCAAAGTCAGTGGTCAGTTTAATATAGTTTACTCATCAGGGAGTTACATGGTTTTATTTTATTTATTTATTTGAACACATAAACATTTGTACAAGGAGGCACCAAATAGATATACGCCACTTAAATCATTCGATTCGTGTGAGAGCTGAAATACTGTCCGGTTGCCCAAATCGAAACAGGTGGTTTTCTAAGGGAACCATTCTCGAAACCTTTGACCTAAAGGTCTGATCCACAAGGCAGTGGAGCGACGTAGAGGGATGCAGTCACATAATAGTCGATGACCAACAGTTGGTTCATACATCATTTGTTTCCTCAGGACCCTTGAGCTCATGTACACTATTGGTTTGGAATGAGGGTTTTCCGACTCCCCTAGGTGGACTCATCGTGTCCACAAGCTCGGTTAAAGTTCCGGACATTCGATTTTCATCTTCTAAATTTCATAAACAACATCCGTGGTACGAGAAGGCAATGAATAGGACTTGTGTGGCAGTGATTGTATGCAGGTGGCCATATGAGATCATTTGGAGAGGGAGAGCTAACTCTACCCGCTCTCGGGCGTACCAGGGCATTTTGGGAAAGTTGTTGTGAAATAACTTGAAGTATTTTCTATTATTTGAGAAAATCAATTTGTGGAGATACTGTAGTTTAATTAGTGCGAATGGATTCAACAAATCACTAAGCCATTCAGCAAACCTATTAAAAAATGTAAATATTGGCGACTCAAGTCAAGAAATTAGTCATTTACTGTAAAATTAAATTAGGAGTTTACAACTTGATAAATGTCGATCGTTGTAAATGAAATGGAGTTTGATCACGGCCGATAAGATAATAATAATAATAATAATAACAAAATATGTAAAATTCTTTGCTTGTTTCAGTTAAAACTGTTCAAATTTACTGATTTAATGAGAATAAGGTTTAGCATAAATGAAAGTGAATGACAGTGAGACGGTGGTTGTTGATTGACTGAACTAATATTTGTTATGTTCTTAGATTATACGGTTACCGTGAATACGATCGCCAAAGTTAGATACCTGACCTTATACGACCAAAAATTGATGTATACACCTAAACGGACGGCCTAGAGTCCTAATTGGTCCTTTTCCCTACCTATAATGTCTGGAACATCCATCGCAGCCTCCGCGATATGAATCAAATATTTCAAACCTACTCGGTTTATTTACGAGCCAAATAGACCACAACACACTGCAAAATAGAAAATAACATTTATTCAATATCTAGCCAAAAATGGTTGTGATTGTGGGAGACTGTAATTAATAAACTTAGCATAACTTAATAATGGTATATCGTATAATAATAGTCTATAGATGAAAATAAAGCTTATAATAAGAGGAATATGAATATACATAGTTTAGTTACATAGTCTATAAATAGATCTCAACAGTTACCGCTCATTACTCCCGTTGGGATACAACAATATTGATCCAAAAATATTGGTAATTAATTGTAAATGATTTTATCAATCAGTGAAATTAAACTATCACATTAAATCATGGGCTAAATCAATCAGATTTAGTCAATGTGTAGTTTATTATGGTGAAATATTAATATTATCTGTTTTTGTATTTTAATTATACTTTATGATAGTTGAATTTAAAATTGATGTTGATTATTTTGTTCTGATTGGAATTCGTAAGCTTATCCACCAATAATCATTGTCATTTCATTTTAATTGTATGACGGCTATGATAATGCCCGGGTGCCCAGACCGAAACAGGTGGTTTTCCTAGGGGGCCACACCTGGGGCTTTTGACCTAAAGGTCTGACCCACAAGGGAGTGGAGCAACGTCAGGAGATGCAGTTCGATGGTAGCCGGTGGCCAACAATTGGTTCATACGTCACTTGCTCGCTCTGGATCGTGAAGCCCATGTGCACCATCGGTTTGAAATCAGGGTTTTCCAACTCCTCTAGATAGATCCTCAATATCGCTTTTTGTCCTCGCAATTTCGTAAACAACAGTAGTAACGCGAGAAGGTAGTGAGTAGGACTTTCCTGGCAGAGCCTGTATACTCGTGGCTGTAGGAGAGCATTTCGAGAGGGAGGGAGGGCTTAATGACTTTGTGTTTCAGCGGAGATGACTTTAAAAAAAACTCTTACTAAGTATTCATAGGTTAAATAATCAAAAACATATGTGGCTTGTGTCAGTATACGCTAACAGTTATAGTCCTGAAAACTTTGATAGACATAGTAATTGCACGTCTTCGTATACCATGTTTAAATATATTATTCTATGTACATTTATGCTTTTCATAGAGACAGATAGGATTTGATGAAGCTGGGCGTCCAATTATATATGCATCATTTTGTCAAGCTATTTCAAATAGAAACATGTCAAATGACGCAGTAACTCATTTAATATACACAATTGAAAATGCAATCAAAAGTATGAAGTCTGGTGTTACACAATGGGTTTTTGTAATTGATTGCACTGGTAAGTTAGTGAAAAATTTAACATTTTGTGTATATAATTTTGGATCGGTGAAACATTACTCTAAACAATGTACCCATATTCGGTTGTTACTCGTTACAGTTAAACTCGGACCATAAGTTATAGTTTCAAACACAAACTTAGCCATTGACATTATTTAGCTTATTCCCAAGCTTTATAAGATTTATACTCTTTCGGTGATTATAGACTCCATCCTTCGTAACTATTTTCACAGATAGAATATTAAGTAAAAAATGTCCCAATTTATTGAATATTTGCTTGCTTCAAACAATATTTTAACTAACTATTCTCAGACTATAACTACATTTAAGGTTGACTACGTTTTAGTGAATTATTCACTAAAAATTAATAAGAGTGAGATTTCAGTTTCTAATGTTAATCAGAAGTGCATGATTAGTTGTTTTTTGGACTGTACATATTGCCTTGTGCACATATATCAATAACAGAGACTGATCAATTGCAGTCCTAAACATCAATGGGAAGATTTAAGTAAACAATACCAAGTGAATTTAAACTTCACCCCATTGCACAAGCAAATAGCTATCAGAACTCAGTAGGTAAGTGGATAATGTTATGGCATTTGAAGTGAACGGTAGTGGGTTCGGCTCCCAGAGTTAACATCACCTCTGAGATGTAGGTACATCCAACTGATGAGTACCAAATAGGACGAAACGCGTGTCCTGGATTCCACTGCTAGCCACTATCTATCTTTGCTTATGATATTTAACTTAGTTTTCGAAATCAAACTTTGATTAAAGGATAATATCTATGTAAATATATTGAAACTATAGAACATTCTGAAATATTCATCGAGGATGTTCTCTAGAGTATATATATTTAAAGAAATTGATTTATTTTACAAACCCTATTCATAAATATTTTCACTCGTTTCTTTTAAATTAGAAGTTTTATTCGTGAAAAGATAAAAAAAAAATTTCAAACACAATGCCAAATTGTCTTTATAATCGAATACTGATTATCTTCATCATTCAAGGCGTTTTCTATTAGTTACTTTAACTTTAAATTCTATATTATCTTCAAAAGATTTAACTATCAAACAATCAATCGTATCTACAACGTCTTTGTTTACTTATGAGAAAAGTTAGATTTTTTTTTTAATTATCTAGATCGTTACTAGAAATTACCGAATTCCCCCTTACTCCACCCCTCATTTGTTAGTAATAATTGTAATTAGTTTCCAATCACTGAAACACACTTGACTTCAGTAGTAATCTTAAACAGTGAAATGATTTTTAGTCTCATATTAGATATTCATCACATTCAATGATCATTCATGACGTGTGTCTAATTGACTCGACTATCCAAGTTCGTAACAGATCTTTAATGCTATGACTGTTTATATTGAGTTCATATTGTATTGGGAAGATAAAAATTAAGTCATTAAATGTTTGACATCATATTGATGTAAATTCTCAGTAATAGATTATTTGTAAATAGGGGAATCTCACAAAAATACTATAAAAGGATATTTATTTATTTATTTATTAAAAATGGCTACATATATGAAGTGTAAATAAAGATATTGAATTGAATGATAATAAGTATTATTTGTTTATATATGAGCTTGAATGCTCAAACAAATACCTTGGAGACATTATTACTAATCATTTATTGATTTCTGAGTATTTAAAAAGATCTTTTTGTTGTCATATGATGATAGAATAAAGCATTCAATGCTTTGAGAAGTACGTTAATTGTTGAATTTACAGTAAGAATGAATTTTCTTTGTATATTCTTGATTATATTAACATGCAATTCCATGACATTCACGTTTTTCAAATAGTGTACCACATGAATTCCCACCATGCATTGAAGGTTTTTCGATATATCTCCAACGCATTTGCGTACCTTTTTGATGAGAACATGATACTGAGCATGGACTCCAACCACTCCATGTAGTCATTATGCAATCTTGTTTATGACCCGATATATCATCTAATTTTTGATGTTCTATTTCATTTAATGAATCAACATCATTTTTATCATCCACTGATTTTGGTATAGAGATAGCGGTATGATTATTTGTTGCATTATTTTTTATCATAGAAGTGTCATTTGTGTATGTACGCATACTAGCCATACGTGCCTTATTGATTTGTCGTAGCTTCTCCATTTCTAACGGGAGACAATCAGATAAGCAACTATGATATGTTTCAAAATTGTTTTCATTACCACCACAACCACGATATTCAAAATCACGACATCTTCGTAGGCGGGGACAAAAATACCTAGGAAGAAATAGGTAAATAATCGTCATTACTGTAATTAGAAATTATTCTACAGGTGTTGGTCAAAGTTTTTGATTTATTTCGAAGAACCACTAATTAATAAACCTACATTACTATAGTAATAGAACTAATCAGAAACAGATGCAGCTGTTTGTCATGCAATGAAGTGTATTGACCAGAGTAGTAAAATATAGAGTACAGAATCTTGATCCAATAACTTATTGGTAATATATGCACTGGAATACAAGAAGTGACAAACTTTAAACTTATTTGAGCGTAGACCCTAAACTATATGAAAAACCATATTAAGTACATCAAGTCACAAAATGACTCTCAATGTACTTTAATTTTTGATGAAATTACTTCACATATATATGTTAGTTCTAAGAAATATTTGTCGTTTCATTCTTGGACATCTCCACATTTTTCTGTGTAATCATATCATTTGAGCAGCTAAAAAAAACTTCAAGAGATGATGTCTGGTTAACAGTGTGATGAAGTGTAGTGGACAAATTACCCTAAGGTTTTTAAATTAAAATATTCAGGACTAATGATGTGTTATCTGTTAAGAGTTAGGTTGTGATAACCTTCACTGATTAGTAGAGGAATAAAAAACACTCGATCAAGATCAGACTGACTCAATGCATAATACAACCGATCATTTGTTTAACTTAACATCATACTATTCATCCAGTTATGATAACAGGGATTTCATTTAAAATTTCATATAACTAATGAAAAGTATAAAAATAACAAAAATTCATCTTTATATGAATAACTTATTCGAAATCCTTTCTAGTTCAATTAAAAATAAACTGAACTTAGATCATTTTGACTGTTACCTTAAGTTTGAATTAAAAGAATTTATTTATATTTCCCTTTCTGAATTCAGGTGTACGTTCTGTGTCTTTTTTATATATTCCCGTCATCTTAGTCTTTTAATTGACTGTATTCAACAAGGGACTAGTGATTACATACTACATAAATCAGGTTTACACTTATTACTTTTGATTATGAAGCCTTGATCTTAGTCATAATATAAGTTGTGTAGTAAAAATTATTATACTACATCAGAAACACTGCATGTAATGTGTGTACCAATCTTCCACTCTGAAGCTTGATGTTATTTATGAATGTTTTAATGTTTTATAGCTTTACAAAATAAACCAGTTTCCCGGTTACATCACTGAGATTTCCCAGGCAACAGGGAAAAGTAGACTTTGGCCAAAAATATTGTTACCTAATGAGTCTGAATTTTGCTGAATTCAATGTCATTTAGTTATTTAACCTTGTTAGTGTATAATTACGTGTTAACATCAGTTGAAAAAGCATCGAAAACTTTAATACAACAAAGACCCTCTGAATCTACTTTTTTTCATATATCAGTCTGAACGACAATATACCATTTAGTAATAACTTATCCTCAAGATAAATGCCTCAAAGTCCTATTAAAACATCGTTTTTTTATAAACTCAAACAGGTCAAGCTTGATAAATGAAAGTTCACGACAATGTAAACATTCGTAGGCTATTTACATGAATTGAGAAAATCTAGATTAAAACAAAACAACTATTTACTGCTTAATTTTAAAGCCAAAACCTCGACTAAATAATAAATAAAGTTATAACTTACCATCTATTCTGTGGTGGGTTATCATCCATGCAAGTATAACCAGGGTCCATTACCTGAGAACAGTGTTTAGCTGGAGAAATCGATTGATTTTTAAAATCATTACTGTCTGTAGCTAATTGAGCTGTTTGATATTGTAATAAAGCTATCCGTTCTCTTCGCCAATTAGGTAGTGCTTCAACAGCTGGAATGCATAAATCTTCGCAATCTTGTTTTGTAGGAAATCGATTACGCCCACCTTTACATCCTAAATATTTGAATGGTAAACATGCATGTTCAATAGCACTATAGTAGTATGCTAAAACTTTTTCACCACATTCTATACCATCTTTTCTACCCTCTGAACATATTGTAGCCGGATCACAATCTGTATCTTTTGGCTGACATTCCCTCAATTCTCGTAAAGTACCATTGTTTGACTCGGTTTCACTTTGAAATATATGTTCGCAATAATTCTTTTCTGATGAGCGGGCTAAATAACGTGTACGTGTTTGCCATCCATGCGGTTTATCACAAGTAGCATTACATGGGGTCCAAGCAGTCCATGGTAATAAGCTGCACATAGCACTGAAATCACATGTGCGTTTTATACCATCACATGACTAAATAGTTTAGGAGAAAAGAAGTTAATACAAATTTATAGTGTTCATAGATTTCTACTAGAATTGCTTTCATGCTGATAATTTTAAGTAATGCAATCAACAAATACATTAGAAGTTGAAGTTTAGTGATTTGACACTATATGATATTTTTTAACTGATTGCTTACTAACTTACTCCTTTTATCCCTTATGGGGTAGCATTGGACGTCCACCACAATTCTCCAATCAACTCTGTCCTAGTCTCTCCTTTCCAGTTTTTGGCAAGTTCTATTCGTTCTTTTGATGACTGTGCCAGATTTCCGACTCCATGTGTCCTTTGTCAGCCTCTTTTCATTTTTATTTGAAGATCCCAAGTTAAGGCTTGCCTTGTGATGAGGTTTCGCGATTTCCTCTAAGTGTGACTTATCTATCTCCAGAATATTTTCCCGATTCCCTCTTCATCTGAAAGTTGTTTTGATTTCTACCACATTAGATTGCTGCTGACAGTGTCTAGTCAGAAGATATAGAGTATCTTAGATAGACAGCTATTTATAAATACCTGTACCCTTTTGATGATGCTAGTAATAGTTCTTCAAGTCCTAGCTCTTTAAAACAGAACTGTCTTGACACTGACTGACAGTTGTTTCTTCGTTATCCCATATAGTTGTCTCATGTTTCCCTTCCCTATCAGGTTTTCTCGCTGTCTCTGGTGGGTTTCCCACATACTTCAGCTTATCTGGTCTAATTTTCTTCTTCATTCACTTGCTTGCTTCTATGTATTTGGCCTGTGCATTGGCCTTCTCTGTTCTTGTTTGCCCGTTGTTGAATGGTGTATTCATTGTTCTTGTTTTCTTGAAGGTTTCGCAGGATATCAGTTGGTGCTGGTGCCTTGTGGGATCCATCACTTCCTTGGTTTTCGAAATTATTGTTTCTTTAATTCATTTTCAGTTATTAACTATAGTGGTGAACAACTTTAGACTAATAATGATAGGATTTCAGTTATTATTTAATTACATTTTCAAAACTCCAACTTGTTATATTAAATATTCACGTAATTATCCTATCAAAATCATTGACTTTGTGAAATGTATTTATACTAGAGTTTTAGGGCTATGAAAGTTTTCCCAATATCTACCTAAACCATTTCAGTTTTGAATAACAGGATAAAACGTATGTCCTTAACAGTAAAAGAATATGTAAACTTGTATGATATCACTTGAAATCATTTATGTGGTAATCAAAAGAGTAGTAAACCTTGATTGTGATGACACTGAAAGAAACCAATAAGTCAAACTAATGCTTCGATTCATTGCTTACAAAAATAATTCATCTGTAGTCAAGTTAACTGTCGAGCACTTCTTTAATTTCCGTAATTATTCGAATAATATTCACCTAAGATAAACAAACAATCCCTATTTTGATTTACGTATAAAGTATGGTTTCAACTGTTTTAATCTTTGGGAACCTATACAAATGACCTTTTTGAAGTTGGTAAAATTTTATTCTCTAAGCTGGATGGTTTGGTCCTGAAGGTTTCGTCGTTCTTCTGAACGACATCCTCAATACAAACTTCAAGTATCGATCCGTTCTGAAGGTCTGCTGACAAATATACGTGAATTTAATCCATGATAAAAAAAGTTCATACCGATTCATTGATTGATCCATCAAGGTATCAAGATATCATTGTTATAAATACCTTTTTTATTGGGAAGTATAAGAATTTAAGCTTACTGTGAATGTCCGTTGGGTTACTGAATGCTGGTGCGATTTCTTCATGAAAGTTTGGATATTTACGCTAAACTGTAAATGATTGATTATCTGAGTTTATACTGGTTCTATTAGCTCGGTCAGACTACCCGTTTATTCGTTCTTGTAGATTGTGGATAAACTGACACTATAATTAGTTAATCATTACTATACTATTTCCTTGTGTAGATAATATTTATCAGATGAAGGTATTTTCTTGAGTTTTACAATCTTATTTATGGGTGATTTTAATTATACACAGGAATATCATATCATCAAATCAAACTACAAGAAACAGTTAAAGACTTTCAAGTATACAGTGTAAAAGACCATAAAAAGGTAAATAGTGTTTGTATTAGAAATTTGTTCACAGCTGAAGCTATAGAAATTCATCATTTCCCATCTAACTTCCATGTACAAGAGAGTCATTTTCGACCTCTTATTCTCTCATGGTCGTACCACCCATCCTTATTTCATAAATCGTAAACATTAATTATTATCTTATTCTTCTCTTTCTACTTCTTTGTAAAATAGACAGATGGCTTTCGTAGATATTGTTTAAATTATTTTCCATTACCTTTGAAACTATTTCTTGAGCACTTTTGATCACTTCGCTAAATAATGTTGTGAGGATGGCCTACGGGTGAACTCAAGGAAGCTCTAGGACGCTCAGAAAGAGCCAAAGACATTCCAGGAACATTCCCTATTGGAAAATGCTAAAAACCACTGTATGCTGTTTGCATGACTATAATGATAATTTCGCTTTTACTAAAAACTATAGTTATCTGGGAGTTTTGTACCATATTTGATACTGTTCGGAATAACATTCCCTCTCACTCGTCTTCTGTCTTCTCATTTGTGACTTGGAGGTTTGTAGCGTTTAAGTGCTCAAGTAGTACACGGTATATTAAGAATCTAAGTTCTAGATATAAAAGACGTAACACTTAGTTTATTCCATACTTTAAATCTCTTGATGATGATCGATTATTTTGTTAAAGGATATGACAGCACTTCAATTTTTTAAATTTTCTTTTCTCTATACTTGAAAATATTGGATTATCTTTTGCAGTTTTGTTTAATAATATGACATTCGTGATAATTTTTTGATTCAGATCATGGGCCGATTGATGTTAGGCCGCCTATGAACACCTAGAAGCACTGGACGGCTGTTTCGTCCTATTGTGGGACTCCCCTCAGCAGTGTGCATCTAAGATCCCGCTCGCGGGATTCGAACCCAGGGCCTCCATTCTCGCGCGAGAACTCTTAACCTCTAGGCCATTGAGCCGACTGGCATCCAACGGTGTTATTGTCTAACCTCAACCAATCCACGAATTCTTGATATCAGTCTAGACTATCATATGTGTAAAATATTACCAGAAAATACAATAGTAAAACTGAAAATCGACAAGAAACGCCTTCCATCATTAATTTAATAACTCAATGGGTTTCGATTATTGTCCTGATATTTTTCATTTTTAAGGATTCTTTTTCATAAATATTTTGAAGTGTTTAAATTAAAATCAGTGCACTTGGACGCAAGTGATTGAGTTGTTATTTACGGTTATTTGTTTAAGAAATGTACGATATAATAAATCATATTTTTTGCAGTACGGCATTCCAAAACGTCATGTTGAGATTATTAGTATGCACACCATTTGAAACCATAATAAATGAATGAGGAAGCATGGTAAATCACTCGTGTTATTTAATGGAAAATACCTAACCTACGAATTGATGGAGTAAAATACGTACAATATTATTGCAATGTATCTACAGTTTCCTTAGTTATTTCAAGGATCTTCTATTTCTTACCTCTTCTTCAACTAATGGAACATGTTGACAAAGCTCTGTCTTCTTATTGATCAGCATGTCACGTTGTCTAGTTCGACGACCAACACCACACGTAACTGAACACGACCCCCAGGCTGACCAAGGACTTGTAACACATAGAAATGTGGCCATCTGTGCCAAACTTGGATCTGAAAGAGGATCATCTCCACCTAGTCCTCCACTTGTAATTCGTGTTCCGCCTACTCCACCACCAATTTTGTTTCGACTTTTTTTGGTAGTGCACCTGTTAAATCCCCTATAACTGACTGAACTATCGGAGAATGTTTATTAGATTGGGATCCTGGTCTGGAACCTACTGTTTCTGTACTTCCATCGGCATTGAATACCTCCACCCCATCGTACAACTTTGACGTACATTCCCATGATTCATTAGGTAAAACTCTTTCCAAGATTAATTTTGCTACCGGGACGCCTGGCGTGAATGGACTATTTGGCATCCAGTCTCTGGTGATAAAACGAATAGGTTCTGGAACATCCTGTACACATATAAAAGTTATTCGGGATGTTTTATGGGTTAAACAATTCATGAACATGATATTTATCACTCTTCAACTTACACACCCAGATCAAAATTTAAAATGTACTTTAACACTACAAATAATCCAAAAGTATATAAATCTTATACTCATTTCTTCCGTCCATATACTACTTAAATAACGTAAATCGTTTTTAAGTGAGACTTTAAAAACAAGGAATGTATGCATCACTTTTTGCTCTAATCCGATTTCAAATGACATGGATACAGAAAGATAAATAACAAATTGATCTCTGTAGAAGTTGTGGTATATACGGATTCATATCCAAGGACGTGTATACTTACAACAATCTTTATTATTTTGGATCGCTGACTGTAAAATACAGTCATTAATAAACGGTAAATTAGAAAAAAAATTATATATTTATCCATGGAGTGAACTAAGACTATATCGAGGCAATACTCACAGTATGCATGTATGCCAATAAAAGACTGATCAATTGCAGTCCTAAACATCAATGGGAAGATTTAAGAAAACAATACCAAGTGAATTTAAACTTCACTCCATTGCACAAGAAAGTGGGTATCAGGACTCAGTGGCTAAGCGGATAATGTTATGGCATTTGAAGCGAACGGTACTGGGTTCGAGCCCCGGAGTGTACATCAGCTGTGAGATGCAAGTACATCCAGCTGACGAGTCCCAAATAGGACGAAACACGTGTCCTAGATTCCACTGCTAGCCCCTATCCATCTTTGCATCTAGTACCAAAAACTTTTCAACTAATAATCTGACTAGTGCATGTTTTTCCAAAGTGATTTTTGTGATAAAACTCTAGTACTAAAACAGTGATGATAGAAAACTTGGTAATAATAAGACCCAATGATTGGAATTTGACCAATTGTTTTTCGACTGTGCCAGCCACTACACACCACATCCTCACTAAGTTCAACTATACAATATTTGAAATTCTCAATGATTTGATGGACAAGTAGATGAATATTTTATGTAGCAATAGGGTAATAATTTGATAGTTATTCGGTATTATTTCTAGTTTCCCAAAATCGGTTTATTTACTGCAGTCTACCTTATTTTATTATTTCAACAGTGCATTGGTTTACAGGAGTAATCCTACGAAATTCTCTACTTAAACTTCAAAGGTTGTTTGGATGGTCGAGATATTTTTTGTTTCCCTAAGTTGGTATTCACAAAGTATTTAAACAAACACAAATTTTAGAGTCCACCGATTAAAAATAAACTTCAGAGTCGATTGAAACCCTGGTTGCTTCAAACTATGTAACCCCCAAATGCCCTGATACGGTCAAGAGTGGGGAGAGTCAGCTCTTCCTCTCCAAATGTTCTCACATGGCCACGTGCATATAACCACTACCACACAAGTCCTACTCACTGTCTTCTCGCGGCATTACTGTTGTTTTCGAAATTTAGAGGACGAAAAGCGAATGTCCACCACTTTAACCAATCCGGTGGACACGGTGAGTCCACCTAGGGGAGTCGAAAAATCTTCATTCCAAACCAATAGTGTACATGGGCTGAAGGATCCTCGGGAAACAAATGTCGTATGAACCAACTGTTGGTCATCGACTACCATGTAACTGCATCTCCCTACGTCGCTTCACTGTCTTGTGAATCACACCTTTAGGTCGAAGGTTCTGAGTATGGCCCCCTAAGAAAACCACTTGCTTCGGTTTGCGCCCTCGGATAGTATCCCAGCTCTCACACGAATCGAATGATTTCTGTGGCACATATCTATTTGGTGCCTCCGTGTACCAATGTTTATGTGTTTGAATAAATAATAATTAATAAAGTTGCTGAACTCGCTACCAATTAACGTCCAAGGTAAACAGTCAAAATTCTTGAAATTGAAGTATTTCTCTAATGAGTTGTACAGAAATAAAAATATATTGAATAAATTTTCCTGATATTTACTCAAGCGTCTTAACAAAACTCAAGAAATTATATTGAGTTTTTATATATCTTAGAGAACAATGGTGTTGACTACTATTTAATAAACAACTAGTAAACAGAATCCTACTGTCCTACTGGAAAGTGATTTAAGTAATAAATTTTGGGTCTTAAATTGAACTTTACATTCTTTAAAAGGATTCCGGAGTCATTAATATTCATAGTATATCAGTAGTTTATAACAGACATAAATATCATACCTTGTTATCTGAATTTCTAGGTAGATATGTATCACCGTTACGAGCTCCAGCATCCCAAGGAAATAAGTCAATTTCAATGTTTTTTACCCAGGTGCAATCCGCTTGACAAACTGATTGACTGGAAATACCTGTACACCAATTAGGACTGGGTCCAAGCATAGTTAAAAATGATATTAAAGGATGTGTTCTATTTACACCAACATAAGTCGTTCTCGTCTCTTCAAGAGCTTCTTCTCCCCACATACCTGGAGCAGATACTAGACTGAATAACGGTCCGATACCGGTAGAACCTCTTTGAGTTCCAGATGGAACTCCTCCTAAAGAGCCTGTGTTTGTAGCGGCGATCCCGAGTGACTGTTTCATCACAGTTGTGTCACCATACGTACAAACAGCTTGAACTCCAGCACTTGCTGGTTCTCCCATACGGTAAATTTGGAAACTTGGTGCGTGACTAGCACCAATAAGGTTAGTCCAGTGAAGTGCTCCAGGATTGTGAACGGGCCAGTCTTTTGGATGAGTTACTTTAGTCCACATACCAGTAAAGGTGAGCTTATAAGTTGCTGAACCGCAAGCACAACAGTCTTGAGGTTGCATACTATCCAAATGCATAAATTCATCATGTAATAACTTCATTGTTCTTTCTTTTGTGGAACTTTCAACATTTCTATCATTTGCAGGTAACATGTAAGCTGGAAGAACAGGACTTGGTGGTCGTGTATAACTTGGACAAAGTGTTTTGGTCAAACCACCTTCATAATATATGGAATAGAAATACAGAGCATTGAATAAGAACAATTTGATCCTTAAATAAAACTAAGTCATACTTCCTGACACCTATATGTTCACTGAAATTTAGTGGATTATTTAAATGACCATCACTTCACACTCTTATCTATCAGGACCATGATCATTAGTTAATACTGAACTAAGGGACGTACCAAAATAGTTTTCTTAAGCTTAAGAATAATAAGTTTAATGTCATCACATTCGAACAGTGCCCTTATAAGATCTATGTTCAGATGCTTGAAACATTTGGTTTTAGGTTCAAAGATCATTTCTCAAAGTTAAATAGCATGAAGTCTTAGATAGTAGGATATTCCTGCAGCGATATATATTCGATGCGTGTTGTTCGTAGCCTCATGAGCTTTTAATGACTATGACAGCACTGAACCAGTGACCATGAGGACTTGTAAAACTCCTCAAATACGTTAATTAACTAGTATATAGCAGTCATTTGAGTTAATAAAGTGTAAGGGATTTATATTCACTTATTGTTGTTTACTTGTATCCTCCCATCGTTACTTAGGACTGTAATTGATCAGTTTCTCGTTGGCGTATGTGTATCCTGTGTAGACTGACTCGATATTCCCTGAAGTCACAGGCTGAGTCCCAAATAAGACGAAACGTGCGTCCTGGACTCCACTGCTAACTACTATCTATCTTTGCTTATAAAGCACATCTGCCAACAAGAGACTGATCGAGTGCAGTCCTAAATAACAACGGAAAGATATAAGTAAACAACGCCAAGTGAATATAACTGCACCCCATTGCACAAGCAAGCGGGTTTCAGAACTCATTAGCTAAGTGGATGATGCGATGGTGTTCGAAGTGAACGGTACTGGGTTCCAATCTCAGAGTGAACATAAACTGTGAGATGCAGGTACATCCAGCTGACGAGTCCCAAATAGGACGAAACTCATGTCCAGGATTCCACTGCTAGCCAATATCCATGTATACTTATAATGTCAAGGATTTACTTTTATACAAAGTATTTATTTTTATATCTTAGTGATCTTTAAAAATTTGATACGATTTTAAAATTCAACCATTGGTGTGTCTTGTCGTTATTACTAAGAAGTAATGAAAATGTTTGAGGTTTATTTATTCATTACCCTCTTGTTGATTGTAGTTGTCTTATTCTAGGATAAAACTCCGTGTTTTAATTGTGCTCTTATATTTCTAAATCAGTTCAATCCGGATCTTATAAATTTTATTGATATGGTTCTTGTGATCTTTATTTAAAGAAACAAATAATAAGCAATCATTGAATGTATTCAATACTCAAACGCATATCAATCATTACTTACCTATAGCGGAAAATATTTCTCTTTGTTCATTATGTGTTTGTACAGCTGCATTAATATTGATACAACCACATTTATCTTTTAATGGTGCTTTCCATATAACAATCATTTTTGTAACAAGTCTTTGAGTACGTGATATCTTCTCAGCTGTAAGACCTTCACAACCTAATCTTGTTTGAGTGACTGCTGTCTCTGTTGTCCATAAATCAGATAAAATATTATTATTTGGATCCTGATTAGTTAAATGAATCCATTCACCTAACTCTCTAGAAGAGCAATTGTTCATATTATCTGTTAACTAAGGAAAGTTAAAAAATAATTCAATAAAATAAAGATTCTAAGAAAAGTGATTGATCAGTAACTTATTTTATAAAGATTGTTCTGTAATAGGATCTAAAACAATCATTGATAAAGTAATTTGGATAAGAATCTTTGCAGAAGTAATAGTAGATTCATCGGTAATGAAATTTGCCATTTTGAGACATGACGTAACGAAGGAAATTTCAATGAAAAATTGATGCCTAATTGAACTTTCAGAAACAGGAAATAAACTATTACCTCCCAACTGTCGAACTTATGTGATACCTGTTTAGGATTCATTACATGGGAACTTTTAGGAGGCGATGGTAGGTGTCTACCTTTGTACGAAATAAAAAGAAAGATTGATGATCAAATTCTGTGAATAGATTCAGGACAGCTTTGATTACTGCTGCCGCTGAATAAAATATTTTACTTCAATTATATATGTAACAAACCTGTATAAAAAAGTAACTACGGAACACTCATCCTGATGTCTTCAATAGAATAACTGTTATCCTCTACCACCCACAGCATTTAAACACTTATTACGACTGATTTGTATCATTCTTTAGTTTTTCAAGTTACATAAATTTAGTAATATTTAAGTTTCTAGAATAGTCAACCCTAACAGAATTCACTTTTAAGAAATGAACCAAACCTTTATCATAGCGGAAATTGAAGGTTGTTAATTTGATTTTTGTTCCAATCTACATATTTATAAATCTCAATCATCAACAACTTTATCAATAATCGAGTCGGTCTATTCGAATGGTCTGAATTGATCTAAGTAAATAAATATATCCATGAAACATTCGACTTACTGTGTTTGAATTGAGTTGTCCATTAAGTGATTTACTATCCACAAGAATTGATGAATCCATTTTTATATTCATCATCATTTTTTCCTTATTCATATTAGGTTCAATCCATATTAATCCATCACGAAATCCTACTGAATGAAATCGATTTGTCAATATTACATAATATTTTCTTCCAGGTTCATACCATTCATCAATCATAACACCATCATTTACTCTTCGAATACGTAATTCAAATCCATTATCATCCATCATTACTTTATCTTGATACTTTAATTGATTTAAATCAGACTGCATATCCGATGATGATGATGATGATGATGATGATACGATTAAGCTTACATTTCGATTGATACTTATTTGACTTCTTAGATTAACTGTAAGAGTTGTACATAATTTTGATAATTTTAAACCATCAAGTTTATTAACACAATCAAATATGAGGAGATATAAAATAGAATTCAATTGAATACTAAGCATATTTAATAAATTATACGCTCCAATTTCAATGAATTTGCCCTTAAATATACGCAACAACAACAACAACAAAATAATATGACATACACCATGGGTGTAGGAAAATACGTGGGTGTTTCTACCGTAAATAACAACTGATCAATAATGAATGGAAGAAAGAATATAAAGTAATTAGTATTACATATTACATATGTTCCGGTACTTTTATCAATTGTCAGATGATCAAGATTAGGCAGGGCATGTTATTTTGATTAGTTGAAACTTGGGCATATTTGTATTTTTGGCTTGTTCATTTTTAATAGTTCCTAAGATAGATAAATTACAAATACACTTCTAGATCATATGACTTCAAGTTTAATGTTTTATCAGAGAAATATTAAATATAGGTATTTCAGATAAAATTCATGAGTGCTAATATCTCTGATCAGAAAATTATGCCTTTCTTCTTTTAAATTAGTTACTATGGTGCATTCATTTTGGTTAGTTAGTGACTAAAATAAACGAGTGATTTTAATTTTGTTCTCTCAGTTAGATGGTTTAATTTTAAAATTTTGATTTGTTGTCTGGAGGCCATCATCAGTGGCTACTTCATACAGAAATGAGCGTTTTTGTTATTTTTCAAATGTTATATCAGTTCATTGTGATGGCTTTGTTTGTTATTAATCGTTCTTGTAAATTTTATCGTCTTTATCTCTTCTTGTGTTCTATCCTATATAGTGCATCGTTCAGATTAATTAAATATTTACTTCAATATAAAATAGACTCAGATAATGTTGTCCATAACAATAGAGAACGTTACAAAATTGAATAATCTAACTGAGAGAATACAACAACTGTAAAAGTCAGTTGATTGGCCAATAATAACCAACAAAGTTACCATTCAAGATGGTCTATAACCATAATGATAGTATTAATTTTATTTAAAAAATTCTTCTATTTAGCTAATGTTCATTCTTATTGATATTACCTTTTTCATAAATATTATATTGTCATAAGAAATCTGAACGACTCATTTATGAAATAACACCGTCCATCTTTTTTTAGTACTTACTGGTTAAACTATTAACTTTGCCCTGTAACAAACCTCAGCGTAGAAGAGGAGACAGTGTGTAGTCTTAGTGACTAGAAGTATAAATTCAGGTACTTGCTAAAATAAACTGAAATTACTTCTATGAATCGTATGCTTATTATGATTATTATAATTTTGATAAATGAGAAAGAATAAGATGACATTAATCAAATGATAGATTTTTATTAGTTTTAAACCACTACAAACATTGAACAGTTGTTGATAGTCAATTACTTATAGGTATTCATTGAATTAGGAATGATTGGATATGTGAATAATGAATTTTTAAACAAAGATGGATAGTGGATAGCAGTGGAATCCGAGACACGCATTTCGTCTTATTTGGGACTTGTCAGCTGGATATACCTGAATCCCAGAGTTCGAGTTCTGGAGTGAACATCAAATCTGGGATGAAGGTATATCCAGCTGACGAGTCTCAAATAGGACGAAACGTGCGTCCTGAATTTAACTGCTATCCACTATTCATCTTTGTTTATAATGCTTGTAAATATCGAGGCAATTCACACGGGATGCACATATGCCAATAAGAGAGAGACTGATCAATTACAGTCCTAAATAACAATGGTAAGATACAAGTAAAACAACACCAAGTGAATGTATTCAATGAAGTTTAAAGAATATGCTTCATAAAATTTCTTTCGTAGTGACCATATTTGATAATTTATTAATAATAAAATAAAAATACGGTAATATCTTTGATGAAATTAATTAACGTAGGACCAGGTACATATATACATCGGTCTAAGTTACCATACCTCATTAGCACAACATGATTAACACCGGATTAATAGTTAATTCAATAGTGGTAATATATAAAAGAAACATTGCATATAACGACATAGTACAGAAAGAAAGATTTAGTTCGTAGAAAGAAAGCTATTAATCAATTTTAATCTCATAGTTTAATGGAAAGCAGAGAGTGTATACATCGACGCCAATGTGATCGATTCTGAACCATATCACCCAGAGTCTCCAACCATTGGTTGCGATAGTCACGCGGGTCCCAACTAATTAGTCTGTATCTACCAACATGGCTCAGACTAGAAGTTAGTGAATTCAATGACTGATGCCACGTTTTGGTTTGACCACCCTCAACTTTGTTATAACCATCCCCAACACTGGTCAGCGTTGCACGTCGTGGCATATCTAAAAACATGTATACATTATTGGTTTATTATGGGTTATCATTTAGATATACATATAAAATGATTGATCAGCGTAGAAACTAACGTTTCTGGTAACTTATTTAGCTTTCACTAGTAGAAAACTTCGAAACTTTTACCTTTTATCTTTTTTAGTACCTTTAATTTTTTCTGTCTATTACATGTTTTGTCCTATTGTGAATAAGATAATCACTGTGATGATACTGATGTTCGTTGAGTGATTGAATTCTGAACACTAACGTCTTGAAACTTTAAAAGAATACTGTTATGACTTTATGTCCGGTTTTTTATCACGTGATTTATCCACCAATCAAAATACGACTTATACAATCTTAGCACTGTGCCAAACCAATGACTTTCGACCGGTAAGAGCAGCCTAGCGTCCTTATTGGTCCTATGTCCGCCTAGCCCGTCCACTTGAATCCAGAACAGCAAAATACCTGTTTCCAATATGCGAATCGAATCGAATCATTTATTTCAGACATATTGGGTTTACATATCAACCAAACAGACCGCAACACACCATAAAATAGGAAATAACATTTGTACACAATAAAGCCCAAAAGTGACTGTGAACGTGGGAGGCGGTAGTCAATAAACTGAACATAACTTAAGAACAGTAAACCGTGCAATAATAAATTATACATCAGAATAAAGCTTATAATAAGAGGAATATAAATATACACAATCTAATTATTGAATAGTTATACCATAAGAATGTATGGATAATATTAGTCAATTAATACGTCTCAGAAGTTACTCATGATTTAATCTTCACTCGGATATAACAAATACTTTCATAAATTATTATGCTGTCATTGTAATTGAATAATAAATTCAGTGTTATACAACAAAATTTCACTTTAGTAGTGTACATTTCCCAGTTTCTTGTTCAGTTGAACATTATTACTGTATTAACGGGACATAGATTAGATTGAAGTATGCTCTATGCACGATTGCGCTGCTGCACGTTGCTTGACTAATTCTTAACCTATCAGCGCTAGTCGATACTTGGAGAACACCGTACTAACGTCTTAACTATTGTGCTTCTTACTTCCATCTAACCTTCTTATTTGAATATAATCTCTTTCCTGTTCAACCATGTTCTGATTTGAAGACATGTCGAGTGAATTGGTGTCCAAGATCACTGAGTAATATAAATAACTGGGTTGTAATAAGATAGGATTATAACACACTGGGCTTTACATAGCAGAAATTATATATGAAACACAGAAGAGAGTATATACTTATCAAAACGGGTTTTGAGGAGATTTTAGAAATTTCAATAGTTGAAATCATGAGTCAATTGAAGCTAGACCACCATGGAAAACTTGGAAGCACTGGACGGCCGTTTCTATTTAGTATGGGACGCCTCCTTAGCAGTGCGTATCCACGATCCCCCCAGTTTCGCACGCGAGCGCTAATGAGAATCCGTTACCAGTGGAGTTCAACCAGGTCTTTTGTGAGATATCAGCTCACTGAAGACATTGATGTACGGTGGCGTAATTTCGTGGAGAGTATATACTTAATTAACCAACTTTACCAAACATTAAAAAATTCATTGGATTCCATGATGTTTTAGGATGCAAAGATAAGAAAGAAGGGAAACTAATTAGATCATCAAATGTCTAATTACTTTTCTATTGAATTTATACCTTCTTGGTATAATCAGAAAGTATACATTATTGAAAGTATAGCACTATTTGGTACGACATTAATTCACATTTATTGTCTAATTGATATAAACATTTAAGGGTCTAGTAACTGTCGTAATTTTGGTGATAAGAAGCATTTGAGGTGGGCATTTCAATTATATGAAATGTCCGCAAAAGTCAGAGGATTGTTATAATGAAAGTATTTTATTTATCACTGTAATTAGTTGAAACATCTTAATTTCTAGGCATGACTACAACCAGCTGTCATCCTCGTCTTGGTTACGAATGTGCCAAAATAATGGCTGATCATTATCCAGAGCGCCTTGGTTTAGCAATCTGTGTTCATCCGGGACCTGCATTCAAAGTTGCTTGGCAAGCCATTAAACCATTCTTACCACAGACAACAGTATCAAAAGTTTGCTTTATTAGAAGTAAATCAAAAATATTTTCAACATTTGAACAATACTTCTCTCCAGAAACGTGTAATTGGTTAATAACTGAAGTAAAATTCAATAGATCAAGACAGACAACAACCAAATACCGACCATTTTGGTTACCTCCAAAAGATTCCGATGATAAACATGATCCTAGAGGTGATCCGATATATGTCCGTGATTGGCTTGTATTGAATCATCCAACTCAACATTTACCACATCCAAATATTGTTGATTATATGCTTGGATGTTTAAATTCACTTAATTATGAAAATGCATTATGCTCTAATCATCTGGTTGATAATAATTATGACTTAACAGAAAAGGGATTTGGTGATTTTGAAGAACATGAAAATGATGATGATGAGGAGGAAGAACTTAATAATATGCTTGCTGCAGAAATACCAAAAGAATTTATGATTCCTGAAAATGCAGAAAAGTTAACATAAATTATTATATTACATTAGAATATTTATATTCTGTTGGCTCGTTCTCATCTTTTTAACATACTTGTCATTTTATACCACTAAACGATAATATACAAATCAATAAGAGATGAGTTCTCAGGGTTAGACAATGGAAAGTTTTTTGGTAATATGGTACTTTATTTGCATGTATTTGGTTTATTTTTTAAAGAAAAATTATTTTTTAATTTAAGTTTTCATTATTCCTCAAGTTAAAAATCTTTTCATTAATCACTTGAAACTTCGACAATGATCAAACAGTCCAGTTGAAACAACAGTATATTATCTATTTAACATGGTGAATAATCGAATATATTCAAAAAGTGGAAATATTTTCAACAAAAGGTCTACTTTTATTCAACTCATTACTTTGCCAACATGAAAACCATTTAATAGAAACTAATTAACGGAGTACGTGCCGCACAATCCGACCAATATAATCTTTCCGGTGGTACACTGCACTATTTAATTATACGGCAAGACTATAATTTATGGATGAACCAATCAGGTATAAGATAACAGATCCCAGATTTCGGCGGAAAATTCACTCATCCATTTGTATAAATAGAGTTTTGGCATTATAACTGATTTCAGTTTGTGATGAAAACCCTTCAAATAAGCCGTTCTGTGACATGAAACCAATTATTCCTTGTTGGCTATACTTGAATTTGACGAGATTCGGTGAATTGTTTAACGTTTGATGATCTGCCATCTAACGTACAAATGATTCAGCTAGACGGACGCTTGGGCAAGGGTTCATTGACATTTTAGTGACCCCATAACCAATTATTTATGGTATGGTTTATTTTTATTACCAATGTACATACGGTATGAATACAAGTCCTTCATGAAAACCCACTTCTGACTGAATCCTCAGAGCGTAACCTTGGGCTAGTAACCACCGAGAGCTTATACGCCAGCTCAAACCACCTTGGAGATACAGTCGAGGCAAGCGTAAATCTCCGCTTTATGCGTAGACTACTTGGGAAGACCGCCCCGGAGTTGTTCCAAACTCTCTTTATAACGTATCCGCAGTCCCACCCTGAAGTTCACAAACTCATTTAGCCCCCTCTCTTCAAGAAAGTCCTAAATCTCTTACACTATGTACAGAAATGTGCAAACAAGTTGGTGATAGAGCTTAAATCTCACGACAACAAACTTTAACACATGGGGTTATTCTGGCTGAGATACAAGATAAGAAGAAGTGGTCTGGTAATCAATTACAATATATAAGATATACCGAGTGATCTCAACACAAGCATATTACCAGATCATCATCAGGGTTGGGTATGTCTTTAGAAAGTTTTAATGTTGATATTTGTTGTCTACAAAACTCTAGTGTAGTGCCACAAATTCGTTACTCATCCTTCGCTTCGAATTACTTGTTTCATGTGAATTTATCGGGGTACCATATGAAATATTTGTCTGGTATTGTTGACGTTGGTATCGCACTAAGGGCCAAAGCTGAGGCAGCACTAATCGATTGGATCGTTATTAACAGTCAGATATTACAACAAAATGCGAAGAAATCGGTGCTTGAGACGATGTCTTTTCGTCATCTCCACCTGTGCTCCCATAGATTTAGCCCGGATGCTATCAATGATGAGTCTTATTCACAGTTAACAGTTCTACAGAGAGTTCGTTCGACAGATATTGTAGTACTAGTCCGAGACTTGAATTCTCAGGTCAGGTGTTTAAGAACAGAAGGGAGCCGTTTAAGCGGCCGTTAGGGACTTGTCGGTTGCGGGTCAGATAATGGTGACCGTCTGCTGCAACCCTTTTCTAACTAGCACTATTTGCCGTCACAGTCATCGCCGATGTGCTACCTGGCGTCATCCTCTGCATCTCAAGCCTGGACTCAGACTGACCACATCAGAATAAGCTGCCGCTGAAGTGATTGTGTACAAGAGTGCCGCTCATTTTGAAGCACCAATCTGAACTCTAATCATGTCCTTGTTTGTGCTAGTCCTACCTTAAGTTCCAGTGGCCAACAACGTCATCGTCCCAAACCGACTTTTGTCAGTAAATTGGTCAGAGCTACTGTTGTACATAAATACCAAGGCTAGCTACCCTCCCACCAAACATTATGGAAGTGTATTCTCTTACAGCTTCGCAAAACATCCAACTTATGAGCACTGGGTTTCCTCAGGTCTTTTACAACTCGTTAGAGCCCGTAGGTTTACTCTGAGTGACCTCACGTCTGATTACAATCAAAGATTGTTACATAATGAAATTGGACAAACCTTGCCTAAGGACTGAGAAGACTGATGATCAGAGCATGTAAATGAGTTTAGAGCATCAGCTGCATCTGATAACTCCCGCAAGTTCTTTCACCTCATTAGAGTCACTGGCAGCAAGAAGTCTAGTGTGAGCGAAGTATTCTGTGACGGTGACCTCTTTAACGATGAGCAGACCTTTTTAAAAAGCAGTTCAACTGGTCTGCTTCTCCGACAACATCGATCAGACTGTCCTATCCTCCACGACCTGTGATGACTGATCCACCTAACGAGTCGAAAATTCCTAAGGAACTCCAACTATTAAGGCGCTATACGGATGATATTGTCTTATTGTGCGACGATACCCAAGCCGAGCAATCTGCACTTAATCAGTTGGCAATCAGTGTCCGTGGGTATGGCATGTACTTTGGACCTTCTAAGTGCAAATTACCTTCACAACACTGTTAGGTTTCTGATCCCGCACTCACTCTGGGTAGTGAGCAGGTTGAAGTAGCTGAGAAGTTCATGTATCTGGGTAGCGGCATAAGTGCTGGTGGTGGCGTGAGTGATGAGATCAATGCACATATAGTGAAAGCCAGAGTGGTGCATGCCAATTTGAGCAATCCTTGGCGCTTCGTGATGTTAGTCTGGTTATAAGAGTTCGGATCTAAAACGCGTCGGTGAGAGCAGTTTTCCTCTATACTTGTGAAACCTGGCCTATCCGCGTTGAGAATTTCAGACGACTCTGTATTTGATCATCGTTGTCTCCGAAAAATTGTTGACATCCAGTGGCAACACCATGTTAGTAATGCAGAGGTTCGACGTCGTTTATTCTGACAAGGCGACGATAATCCAACCTTAGCCACTATCTTGAAACACAGACTTTGGTGGCTTGGTCATGTCCTGGAAAATTTCACGTCGTGCATTATTTGTCGATTCTGGGATCGGTTGGAAAAAGCGGAGGGGTGGTCATTGTGTGACATGGTGTTGTGGTATAAAAGAAAGCTGTATATGACTGGATTCTGTCCAGCCTCCATGACTCCCTGGCTGGGGTCCGAGAGATGGTGCAGAACAGTGGCCATAGACGTTATCAGATATGTCTCACAATAGAAGCGAGTGGCTATATTGATGCAATTTTGTTTTATTTTCTTCATAAAAATGAATGTGACTTCATTAACTGAAATAATTGTTTCTGGTTGTATCTTTATTAACTGAACTATTATTATTATTACTATTATTATTATTATTATTTCGCTCTCATACACTAATTTCTGTCCGTTTTTCTTCTTTTATTATACGCACTTACATTCTTTATCTTTTCACAATCCCATTGTTATTATGTGGCGCATATGTATTGTGTGCCCCTTTTACTAATACTTGTGTGTTCAAATAAGTAAATAAATATATATATATATATAAAAGCTCAGTCACAGTCGGTTATAAAAAATTGTGCCACTGTTTTTATGAAACGAGGAGTTAGTAGGTTTCAGATAGCACAGGTACAAACCAAAACGAAGTTAATTCACAAGGCTTTGAATAACGGTAAAACACATAGGTTACAAAATGTCTGAGTGCTCGTCGCACTGTGGCTTCGATTAATCATTTAATGAGGTTCAACACTCGGCTCTTCATATAAATTAAAACTGTTTGAGATAGAACATATAGTATGTAACTGAATCGCATCACTTTTAGACAGTCTAATTCAAGTCATAAAAATAAAGCAACATTACTCACACTCTTGGAATATCACCAGTTCTGGTTTTCAAGGCTAAGTCATTGCACCACTGTTAATGTGCATCAACGACATGTTTCGTTGATTTATAATTTCACAACCCTTTCTGTATACCAGTGATCTTGAATCATTGTGTAAACTCCGCGAAAGTCACAATGGAAATATCAACTAAGTATGACAGTAAGACTTCGAAAATTGTCATTATTGGTGTAACACATACTTCCATCTCTGTAATCCACAAAAGTTTGTGTAAATGTTTTTGGCGAACTGGGCCAGCAGATAAGCTCACGTCTCAATAAATTAGAAGTTAAACAACCAAGTAGTATTTGATATTTAGAGGAGAAATATACAAACAGCCTAATGTTTGCTCAGTTAAATTATTTCTAAATCTTTGGAGCCAGCAGACATTTTGGGCTTGGTTGTCCCGGCTTTTATTTAACATTCAAATTGATTTGTTGTAAATCATGTGTTTAACGCCCTATCACCATTTACATGCACTATCAAGACCGATAGAAAATTAAGTAAACAAAACGGTGATCTGTGCTACTCCGTGCTTCTGGAATAATACCAATAGTAAGAATAAGATATCTGATGGCTTAAATTAATAAATCTAGTCAGACTGCAGAAATATGGTCTAACTCAGCAATAGTATATCTATCTTTAATACTATACTAATAGATGTGGAGGCTTTCACGATGTGACTGCCCAACCTATAAAATCTTACATGGAAGTCACATCACTGCCCATACTGACTCGTCCTTCATGATAATCAGCAATACGATGTTTGGTACTTCCTATGGACGCACTCATGATGGGGATAAACTAATACACATTGAATAATCACACCTGTCAGTCAGAGCAATGCCATACTGATGAATTATTACCAAGTTCACAATTCTTGACCTCCCTTTGTGTTACATGTTGAGTGTAAATCTCAGTAATTTTATGTTTGTCTTCAAAGATCGTGTGCTTAGGAACAAATATCCTATATTGCGAAATTCTACATAATTTGACTTCAGCAAACTGTGATGCTATAA